GTGTATATTAGTTCCTTTTTCTCCACATCCTCTCCAGCATTTGGTATTATTTGTCTTTTTTGCAATTGTCATCCTAACAGGTGTGAGATGACATCTCAACATGCTTTTCATTTGTATTTCTCTGATAATTCGTGATGTTGAACACCTTTTCCTATATCTGTTGGCCATTTTGACGTCATATGTGAATAAAGGTCTATTTAGGTCTTCTGTCCTTTTTTTAAAATCAGATCATATGTTTTCCTGCTATTGAATTGTATCAGCTCTTTATAAATCTTGAATCTGTAAATTTTTTTCCCAAGTGGTAGAGTGTTTTAATTTTGGTGATTGTTTCTTTTGCTGTACAGAAGCTTTTTAGCTTTATGTAGTCTCATTTACTGATTTTTCTTTTGTAGCTTGATATTTCAGTGTGATATTCAAGATATTAATCCCAAGGCCAATGTCAAGATTTCCTCCTGTGACTTCTTCTAGGAGTTTTATGGTTTCAGATCTTACATTAGGTCTTTTAACCACTATGAGTTTATTTTTCTTCATGGTATAAGATAAGGATTCATTTTCATTCATTTGCATGTAGAAATCCAATTTTCCTAGCACCATTTATTGAAGAGACTATCCTTTCCCCACTGTATTTTCTTTATGCCCTTGTCAAAAATTAGATGACCATATATATTTGAATTTAGTTCTGGGCTCTCTATTCGGTTCCATTGGCCTAAGTGTCTGTTTTTATGCCACTGAGCATCTCTAATCTAACATTTTCTCATTCAATTCCGTTGATAAAGCAAACATCTCTCCTCTGGAAGTTTCAGCAAAAGTCTCGCAGCATCATCATGCCACAGGGGCCACGTCCCCACACCTGAACCAGTTACTCCAGCCGGAGGAAGACAATGCTCTGATGGGCTTTGGCCTATAACAAGCTTCGCCTCTGACCCAGGAGTGAACACCAACCAAAGGCCCAGGCTGTTGATGAAGGACAAAACGTTGCGCAAACAGAAGGCAGAATTAGGATGCAATTACCCGGTGAAAGGTAAATGGAAGCAGCAAGCCACATGCTCACTGCAGAAATGAAACTCATCTCCTTTTCCAAGGAGCCATCTTCATAGATTGTGTGGAGTCCAGAAGTGAATGTCTTAGACTAGCAGCCCAGCCTCAACTGATGAGTCCTGAAAACTATGATATGAGCAGAGGGCTAGGAAGTGTTTGACGACAACTTTCTTGGGGGATGATTTGTAGCATCTGCTGATTCCCATGTGTAAATACTCCCACCATGGCTGATGTCAAGCTACCAAAATGGCGACACTGACCATGGGTTTGGGAGGAGATGCAGCCAGCTCTCATGAGCCAGTGAGAGCTGATGAAAGCTGCCTCCTGCACTGGCAATTAGTGATATTCACAAAAGTTTTACACATTTTAATACCTTACTTATGCTACCAAAACCATCATTGGCTGGTTATATCACCACACTAAAATAGTCTTCCTCACTTGTCATAAAATGTTGAAGAAAAACAGCAATTATGTGACTGCAATTGCCTCCATCGCCGTGAACTGCTGCATAGTCAAGCATTCCTGCACACACGTCTTCTCCCAAGATGTCCCTTACTCCTCAGAGGGGTCTCCCAGGTTCAAAACTTTCTGGCCACAGAAGACACATCTGTTTGTTGCTATTTTTCTAAACTGCTCATCTCAGGAACCCTATGATTTTCCATTCTGGTGAATGAACAAAAACAAGGCCCTCTGTCAACACTGTGGTTCAGAATATGCCGGCTCGATCCAAATGCAGAAATAACCACAAGGGATAAGCCTAAGGTAAAACGCTCGCTAAGAAAAATGCAACTGAAAGGGTTAGGTTTGCCCTTTGAGGTCAGCTACTCCGACTGTACACTAAGTGGAAATGGCAGAACTTGTCCTCAGCTTTATTTGGGGGTAAGAATAACTTCCCCTTTAAAATTTTTCTGGAAAACTAACTTTCTTCGGCAGATCGTGGGTCCAGATCCTGCTTATTAGAGTTTGAGGTGGGACTGACCTCAGGAAGAGAGCAAAGTTCCTTGATTTGCTTCAGTTTTTGTCATGTTGGGCCCTGCTTTGGGGACATCTGGGTCATAGATCAGGCTGATTAGCAGGAAGGATACATAGCAGGAAGGAAAAAAACTAAAAGTTTTCAAGATTTCATTTTCCTTCTCTTTCAATGAAGATGCTAGTTGGGGGAATGCCCAAATGTAATGACACAGCTCTAAATATTTGCCTTTGCATTTCAAATTCCAGAGCACCAAACTCTGAGAAAATCATCAAATTCTTCTCCAGATGGCTAAGAATCACATAAACTGCAGATTTACTAAAAAAATAATATTTAGTGTATATCAGAATGCCATATGGGGGGAACCTGGAATTAAAATCCTTTTCACCTACCAAAGATAGGATATTAATAAGCTTTTTAGTACATCAAAAGTCACACCCATCCCAACTCTCATGTAATTCAGAGTCAATCTACAAAAACAATCTTATAACTGATAGTAACAATGGCAGCAGTGGCCGACCTGGAACAGCTGCTGCCAGGACACTGGCTGCAGCATGGGAAGTGCAGCTGGGCTAAAGGCTCCACAGAGCCTGCAGGAGCTAGGAGCAGTCAGGAGCCCCGCCCTCCGGATGTAGCTGCAGCTGCCCAAGCAGGGCTGTGGACCCAGGCCTCCCTGTGCCCTTGAGGGCCTGGAGCAGGCAGGAGCCCCACCCAGGGCCCAGCTGCAGCTACCCAAGCTGCCACTGCTGACCCAGACATCTCTGCACTCTCAAGGGCCTGGGAAGGCCCCCTTGTCTGGGCAGGCATAGAGGTGTCTACTTCTGCTGCCTGGCTTCTCCATGCACCCACTCTCCTTGCACCACCAGCTCCCTGCTGCCTTGGCCCACTCTGGACTTTGGATGCTGAGGCTCATGGGAGGGAGACTGAGCCGGGAGTTGAGGACAGCTCAGTGCTGGCCTGCAGAATCACCTGGGCACTAACAGCCTGGGCATCATGAATGGTGGCAGGAGGCAGACAGGCTCCTAAATGGAAGGGGGCGGGTCCTTGGTGAAGCCCCACCTTCAAGCCTGGGAGGACCTGAAGCCTGGGGGCAGGGCTGCCAGTCCCACAGACTGGAGTGAGAATTTGTGGTGTTTTTTCCAGGGCTGTTCATAGCTGCCCATGGACCAATCAGCATGCACGTCCTCCCCTCTCAGGCCCATAAAAGCCCTGGACTTAGCCAGACCCTAAGACACAACAGGAGGATCAGCTGCAGAGAGGAGCTACCCACTCCAGGGTCTCCTTTCTGAGAGATGAACACCGCTCACTGGAGAGGAGTACCCAATGTGGATGGCTTTGAGGTGTTCTGTAGGTCAATGAATCTCCCTTTGCCTTGCTCACACTCCACTTGTCTACATACCTCATTCTTCCTGAATGCAGGAAAAGAACTCGGGACTTGCCAAATGGCAGGGCCAACAGAGCTATAACACAAACAAGGCTGAAACATGCCCCTTGCTTGCCACATTTTAGGCAATGAGAAGGAAAGAAGGAGAGAAGAGCTGCAGCTTTCAGGAAGCCCAGACCTAGGAGCTCCAAGCCAGGGCTGTGACACCCTCTTTGGGGCTCAGCAGTTCCTAGTGTCTCCAAGCTTCTGGGTATCATGGCATTCCTCAGTGTCAACCTCAGTGGAAGCTGCCTGTGGTACTCCTGGTTCAGCTGCAGCCTTGCAGGGAGCCAGCACCCATGCTGGTGCCTGGAGCTGCCTGCCCCACACAGCCAGCATGCCCAGCTGCACACAATGGCTGAACCTCACCCTCGCTCAAACATCCCCCACCTCTCTGTGCCTGGCTCACCCTTGTCTGGCATGGGTTCTGGTCCAGTAGGGCTAGCCGAGCACACCCTGCCAGGTTGAGTGGGCCAAATGAAGGCAGCAGGCCCACGCAAAACTCAGGCAAAGGCGCCACTGGCCACAGAGGTTTCCAGCTGGCAAAACAACACCCCAAGAATCCCATGATAGTAATAATAGCTAACTTAGTTTACAAGTATACTTAAGGGGGGATCAAAATATCTTAACTCTTACAACAACCCATCAGGTAGGTTGTATTGTCCCCATTTCATAGACAAAGAAACTGAGGCTTAAGAATATTTAGTTATTGGAACAAAGGTCACAAAACTAATACATGTCAGAGACAAAGATTGAAATCTGAGTTTTTTGTTTGTTTGTTTCTTTGTTTCTTAGAGACGAAGTCTCGCTCTGTCACCCAGGCTGGAGTGCAGTGGCACAATCTCTGCTCACTACAACCTCTGCCTCTCAAGTTCCAGCAATTCTCATGCCTCAGCTTCCCAAGTAGCTGGGGCTACAGGTACCTCCCACCATGCCTGGCTAGTTTTTGTATTTTTAGTAGAGACAGGGTTTCACCATATTGGCCAAATTGGTCTTGAACTCCTGACCTCAGGTGATCTGCCTGTCTTGGCCTCCCAAAGCTGAGTCTTAATTATACTGATTTTCCAAGTCAATTTCCAAAACTTGCAAAGTACGTAGAAAATCAAAGAATGAAAGAAAAATAGAGTATTTTGGATGCAATACAGCTATAAACATAAAAACAATTCAAACTTCGGATTTAGAATGAAAGTAATAATTATTTTAATATTTGGATAGCATGTCAGAATTTGAAAAATATCTTCATGTGCATTTGATTTTCATAGCAGTTCTGGAAAGCAGAAAAAGATCTGTGGTTCTCATTCTGCAGAAGCAAAGATCAAGCCTCAGTCAATGACTGAGGAAAACAGATCATTGTTGTGCTATTCTAGGCCACTGAGAAGGATAAAGAGCCTCTCAGCTCATTTTGAAATCTACGCCATAATACACAAATCAGATAAAGACAGACTAATACTACACATGAATTTCACTTATAAATACAAATTCTAAGTCAAACATTTCAAATTAATATAAATGCAAAATTTCTAAAGAAAATATTTTCAAATAGAATCCAGAAGCATATGAAATAATTACCTGCCACAACTGCTGCTATAGTTTGGGTGTTTGTGCCCTCCAAAACTTATGTTGACACTGGGTAGCCAGGGTGACAGTGTTGGCAGGTGGGGCCTAAGGGGAGGGGATTGGATCTTGAGGGTAGAGCTCTCATGCATGAATCAATGTGGTTATCATAGGAGGGGGTTGTTATAAAGTGAACTTGGCCTCTCCTGCTTTCTCCTTTTTGCTTGCCCTCCCACCTTTCTGCAATGGGATGACACAGCACAAAGACCCTCACCAAGATGTCAGCCTGTGGACCTTGGATTTCCCCACCTTCCAGAACCAAGAGCTAAATAAACTTCTATTCTTTATAAATTACCCAGGCTGTGGTATTCAGTTATAACAACAGACAATGAACAAAGACAGCTCCCTAGGGTATATCCTAAGACTTCAAAAATGATCCACATAAGGAATTCTCATAACATACCATATACATATGTTATACCTCCAAATTAAGGTAGGAAAGTATAAGCCAGTTTCCTAAACAGACATTAAATAAAATTGAGCAGCCATTTTTAATAAGTTAGGGAAAATTATGAAATGGCTACTGAAAGCCTAGTACTATGTCTTATAATGCATAATAAGTCTTCAAGTATTTGTTAAATCAAATACTTGTGCTCTAGATAAGAGAAGAAAAATGAGCTATTCACTTCAACCACATCTGGAGGGACAAATACACTATATATCTGAAATGTATGCATAATTTACCTGAATGGAAAGCCTGCAAATAAAGCCAGTGAAATAACAGGCTGCAACCTTGCTCAGCCCTTCCCATCACAACCACTTGTCTGTAGAAAGGTTCAGGGAAGCATCCAGCTCTATCACCAACTTTCTCTGATGGCGAACTGAAGTTGGGTCAGTCTAAAGTCTGATAGCCATGTTTTCTGGTTTAACCAACTAACTTATTTCTCCTCTAAACAACTAATCTAACTAACTTATCTCACGTACTGATGAAGCCCTAATCATCCCATGAGGAGAGGACATGGAAGCAGCTCTTATTGGAGGGGGTACACCAGCAGCCTCCTCAGTCACTAGCCCCTAAAGGTTAAAGTCACGGGTGGTAGAGAAGATGGTGACAACCTTCATTCCCTGGTGGAGAGTGGTGAGATCCCCACCAGATCACACCCTTTAAAGCCCATAGTAGCTCTGCCTGGTTGTGCAACAAGTGCAAGTAGCCTTCATCTTCACAATCACAGCTCTGCCACAGAGCACCCAGCTGGACCCCGGGGGAAATGGACAGAGCCAGCTTTGAGGCCAGTCATCCCCTCCACATGTAGGCTGCTGTATTTGCAGAGTTAAGAGAGCACAGCCTTGTGCACAGGTGTTTTACACTAAAGTCTGTAGATGAAACAGATCACTGCACCATCTTTCCTAGGGTGTAGGAAATGAACTAGGCAGTGTGTCCTAAGGGGTCTTGAGCCAAAGTCCCAGCTCCATTTTGGAATATTGTTAGCCCATTAGAATGTTGAAAGAATGGGAAAAGCCAACCCAAATGCCCATCGATGATGGACTGGGTAAAGAAAACGTGTTACATATACAACATGGAATACTATGCAGCCATAAAAAAGGATGAGATAGTGTCCTTTGTCAGGACATGGATGAAGCTGGAAACCATCATTCTCAGCAAACTAACACAAGAACAGAAAACCAAACACTGCATGTTCTTACTCATAAGTGGGAGTTGAACGATGAGAACACATGGATACAGGAAGGGGAATATCACACACAGGGGCCTGTCAAGGGGTGGGGGGCTAGGGAAGGAATACCATTAGGAGAAATACCTAATGTAGATGACGGGGTGATGGATGCAGCAAACCACCATGGCACGTGTACACCTATGTAACAAACCGCACGTTCTGCACGTGTACCCCAGAACTTAAAGTATAATCAAAATAAATTAATTTTAAAAATTTGTTTAATGGCAAAAAAGAATGGGAAGAGCAATAAGTATAAAATAAGCAATATTTTCTAACCTCCTCCTCCCCTACGTCAATATAGAATACCAAAAATCTCCACCTGGTCCACAATTTTTATTTTAAAATGCCGACCAGGAAAGCTATGTGTCTTCTCTGAGACTCCTAGAAAGGAAACCTCCAGAAAACCAGTAGCTGCCTAGTCATTACACTAATGATTGAACTTTAACAAAGGTAAATTCTTCATTTTTTTAATGCAATAGACTTTTCCAAAATTAAAACTGAACAAAGTAGCTTTGGCGAAATAGAGAACGTTGTTTCTTTAGATTCAGGTTGAAATACAAGCCTTATGTTGCCTTCTACTTTACTTGTGTATAATCTTTTAATTTTCGTATGAGGTTCCTTTGGTGCATTTTGATCTCTGTGTAGAACTGTGAGCCTAACCCATGTGGCAGCATGCCTGTTCCAATTGGCATGTTTTATTTTACTAACCTCTGTGTGTCCTTAGATGTTCAATTAGCTGAGCCAAAACAGCAGAGGCTATTCTAAATGGCATGACCCAACTGTTTTAGCTTAGCAATGTTACAAATCTAAAAAGGCAATACTGCCAATCAGACTAAAACAGATACAGAAAAGTGATTCATTAAACTTGTATGTGTTTTTATTTACTAAATTAATTAAAATAGATAACACGTTTAAAAAATGTGCCCAGAAGCAAGTTCTTTTTTTTTTATTTTGAGACTTGAATATTAAAAACATCTTGTCAATTAATGATAGTCTAGTGTGGAGTGACAGTGTTGCATTTGCTATGGGCATAATTTATGTGTTGGAAACAATCCCCAAAGCAACAGTGTTGAGAGGTGAGTCCTAATGAAAGGTGCTTAGGTCATGAAGGCTCTGCCCTCATGAATGGACCAATACCATTCTAGAAAGAGCTGATGTGAGCGGGTTCAGTCTCTTCCAATCTTCTGCCACTTGGGGGAACAGCATTCCTGTCCTCGGGAGGATGCAGCATTCAAGGTGCCATCTTAGACGTGAAGACTATGCCCCTCACTAGACACCAAACCTGCCAGCATCTTGATCTTGGACTTCCCAGCCTCCAGAACTGTGAGAAACAAATTTCTGTTCCTTATAAATTACTCAGTCTCAAATATTCTATTATAGCAGCATAAAGCAGATTAAGACAACATTTCACTTTTCTCAGTTAGAAAATGGATTAATTTATGCTAATTATGTCCACTTGCTAATTTGCTTCCTAGAAGATTTAATATATCCCAAATCTACTCTTGTATTTATTTTTAAATTACCTCAAAGACACAAAGTTAAAATAAAATTCAGTGTTGAAAAGGCTCTTTGTAGGGAGGCCAATATTTTCTATGCTAGAGGGAAAGTATTATGTTTGTTGTGGAATTTGAAACCCCAGTTAAAGTAGAACAATAATACTAATTACCTGAGTCTGTTTGTGGTTCATCCTTTTCAAACTATGAGAGTGCCTCTCTTCACACATATTATGATATGCACATTTACACAAGACTGTACATTTACAGAGTTTAAATATCAAGAGGAGTGCAGGGAAATAGTTGACCAGCAGCATGGAGATAACCAAATTCAATGAATCCAGCTTTGATTAAGTGTTCCCATCAACTCCCATGAACTGGAGAGCAGAATGCTCCCTTCTTAGATGTACCCAGAATGAAAAACAAGCTGAAGTTACATGAACAAAAAAAAAAAAAAACTTACAAAAATATGAGAGCCATTCATGAAAATTTTGAAAAAGCGAGTGAGAGGCTCTGGTGCGTTGGGGAGTTACAAGACATCTGAAAAACTGAATCTGATCACCATACACATACATAGCCTTTTTTTTCACATGGTCTGTTTCCCCCTCAGACATCCCCTGAGTTGTATGCAAGCAGGTCACAAGGCAGACCTCAGCACTTATTCAAACATTTAACAATTTTGAGACACCTAGTAATACATACACAAGCAGGCTCTGTGCAGATAGAGGGGATACAGGGATAAACAAGGAATCTCTGATCAGAATACCTGGCAGTTAAATCAATGATCATCACACAACGTGATAATTTGTTATAAAATGAGAAACAAGAGAATGAAAGAGAATCGTGATCTCTGAGGAGAAAAGACGACATCACAGAAGAAGTGAGCTGAGTTGTTCAAAAATGAAGATGCATAAAAGAGGGAAGTAATAATTATCACCCTGGGGTCATCCTTCAGCCAAGAGCAGAAGAATCTTAATGGCCACAGGAAATTAGGGGTCCTGTCTTTATGTTCTGGTCGAGAGTAAATGCAGTGCTGAGAAACGGTTGTCAGAAACAGATTTATAGACATTAGAGTAAAATGATGGCTTGGGATTTGGATGACAGGGTTATGGACTGTAGGGTCAGGCCATGCAAGTTTAGACAACGTTAAGGATGATGGTCTTCTTTTGCTTTCAGTCAAGTACACGAAAATTGAGACACATTGACTGCATTGATTTTAGCTTGGTTAGGGACGGACCTTCCTTAGCCTTCCTTTACCGTGCCCTCCAGTCTTTTTTTAATATATATAATTTCAACTTTTATTTTAGAATCTGTGTTCTGTGGAACAGTTTATTTTTCTTTGGATATATACCCAGTAATGTGTACCCTCCAGTCTTTGGCATCAATTAAATAGTTAAGATGAGTATTCCATGAGTAGATTTTTGTGACAATTACAGAAGCTACTAAAGAAAGAAGAAATTCACATGGTGTCCAGAATAATAAACATCTCTTTAAAGGTTATAACATTTCCATAAACTTGATTTTGAGATTTTGCCTTCACCTTCTTGCAAGCTTCTATCAAATCCCAAAGCATCATCATTTGACCCTGTGATTCCATTTGTACAAGAAGGTTTACTGTTTATGGCAAGATCGTTTATGATAACAAAACATTTGAAACATATAGGACAAATGGGAAATATTCAAATACACCGTCTGATAGAACAATATGCTATCATTGTAAAATCATCTTACCTTTAAAGATATGAGAAACTTCGTAATGTGAAGAGAACAAATGTTTACAAGATTTATCCAAGGAAGACTACAAAGCAATAGCCCAGGGCTTACCAGAGATTCTCTCTAGTCAACG